ATTTTCATTTTGACTTATTTCTGTTGGAAAAATCATTTTCCAAGTTTTTTTTACTACAGGTTATTAGAAGAGGAAACAAGGAAGCTGTAACCTAAATTGTAACTTTGTTCAATATTAAGTATTTGTATATTACTTTTATTAGCAAAATTTTTGTTCCTTTACTAAATAATTATAAAAAAAACATATACAAGATCATCAGTATCATTAAATAGACATAAAAAATGTCAAATGTCAAAATTTTTTGACAGATAGAATTTTTGTAACATTTTTCTTTCTTACTTGAAATTTTTCTCTGGGGCGCGAGTTCTGACTCACCCTGTAGTATATAAGTTATCGRTGTTTTTTTTAAATTAATTTTCTAGAAAAAAAATCAAATTTACAAACAAAATGTATATCAAAAAGGTATTTTTATTGCCCTTTTTAATCTTTATCAACTCTTTTGTTGTTAACAGATGGTCCCTTAGGACTATTTAAAAAAATGGATTTGGCGTAAAACTATATTCCACTATTCTTGTAATAAAAATATGTACAATAATGAAATATGTACAATAATCAAAACACAAAAAATTGCGTGGTAGCAGAAATGTTTAACAAGTCTCCGTTTTAGAGTCGAAATATTTAAACACTTTACAAAAAATTCTTCAATAAAAGAAGATAAAAAAAGATAAGAAAAAATAATTTTAAGGTTCCTTTATGTTAAAATTTATTATTCAAAATTTTACTTACTTTTAAAAACTTAAGTGTTACCTATTCTGAGTTTACGAGTTTTAAAAAAAGGTTAAAAAAAGTATTTACAAATACCTAAATCTTAAAGAGTATTTTTATTTATAGATTCGGCGTGAAAATATTATAGCATTTTTTTGATATCTTAAAAATCTACAGTTAAACATTTACAAAAAAAAAACAAAAAATGGTCAAGTATAGTGAGTAGTAGCATAAACTTTTAACACACCTTCGTTTTAGAGTCGAAATATTTAAATACCTAAGAAAAATAGTTGCTGTTAAATTTGTCAAAAAATTGATTATGAAAACCAACTATTCTGATAGCGACTCCTACAAAATGTAATTGTTTCGATGTTCTAAATAAAAGTTTTGTTATCTTATGTATTTCAAATAATATTTGTCCAAGAATGCTTATTTTACAAACTCGATTTTCAGCCAGCTCATAACAGTTTGTTTATTTTGTGTCGTAATGATATAAAATAACAAAATTGTAGTATTACACAAAATATTAAATAATTTTCATTGAATTATTGTTTAAAATTCTTTTTCAATCAAGGCGATAACTGGAGAAATTACCTTCACATTATTCTGTTTCATTGTTTCTAACAGCAATTGTGTAAATCAAATTCAATTTTACAAATTACAAAAGCTCGGTTTAATAATAASACCACACAGAATAATAAAATTATAGTCTTTCTCGTGTTAGATGATTGACAAGTTAACGACACACCTTCACAGGTTTGTACTTATGAACAATAAAAAAATTAGAGCAGTTAGTGCCCCAGGATTACAGGATTAAAATTGTTCGAATTCCAAATTTAATTAAATATTCCAYAAAAAACACATTTTTTTGGATTGCAAACACAGCAAATAACTTTGCTAACCAAATTTACTAATAATCATTTTAAAATTGCAATGTTATGAATGGTAATTACTGTTGTTGTTGTTGTGATAATGATTCTAGAATGTCATCCGGATTTATCTCTGATTGCTGTCAAGCGATGGAAAAATCTTGAAAAAATTCTARCAAATAAAAATAAAAAAATCTACGAGATTTGAAGGACACAAAAACTTATCAAGGGTAYGAGATAGGTAACTATCCGAACCCAAAATATTTGTAATAYTTGAATTAATCATTTCCACTTCCTGAATCATTACTGGAATTTAAATTTATATTACGAGATACCCAACATTATTTTCCAATTAGTCTAATCGGTTTTTTAATRTCCAAACCAGATWATTTTACACCTTACGAAATATAAAAATTGCGATTTCAGTTTTCAGTACTTAAATTAAATGAAAGCTAATTACTTGGCGACATTGAGTCCGCTGAAAAACTTGGCGATGTCCTGATCGCTGCTCTGCCAGGGAAGTCCTCTCGCCCTTACCACGCAGTTGCTGTCGATCTCATCGTCTTTGGAACTGGAAGAAAAAGATAACACAAAATAAACACACAATTAACAAATACTTTCACCGATAAGACAAAAATGACGTAACCGTAATAACAACCCTGAAACTGTGATAAAATATTGAAACGGTCGCGGCCACGTGGTCGCGAAACGTACCTGTTGAAAATTTCCCGATTTTCCGACTGAAAACTACTGGAAAACTCACACTCGCGTCGCTGCCACAAAATCGACTTCAAGGCAACTTGAAGAAACTGAAACGTATCAGTAATTTGAAAAAAAAGTCGCGTTTTATCTTTATTCGAACGCGACTGACCCCAATGTGTCAGAAAAAGACGGAGACTTCGACGTGAGCTATTATCAATAGCACGAAGTGGGGCACTTAATGTCAAACCCGATTGGTTCTGTTCAATAACTGATAAGAAAAAGTGATATTCATGAACAGACGACGAAATTCGGAATCACACCATCCATCTCGCAAAAAAATTCAAATTTCTACTCACCATATCCCGGGCTCCAGGGTCAGGTTTATCGTTTCGAGCGCCTCGAACCTGTATCCTGCAAGAAAACGGCCAAATCAATCGAATTTCTTTCRAGTTTTTTGTTTATGCAACATCTCCGTTTGAAATGTAATTGAACTAAAAACTGCTTATGCAAGTCGGGTTCGGTTCGTTACACTTGCTGAATGGCATTTCTTCGCATATCCGCTCGAATGAGGAAACAACCCCCAGATATTGGAATTTTCGCATCGGCTCGCAACCGTTGGCGATGAGAGACTGGACGAGGGTCACGACGAGTTTCAACCCTTTGACGAAGGGGTGAGATGGCGAGACTTGCAAGGGATGCGAGTACAGTGGGGACAAAATTTCCAAATTCTTGCAAATCATCTCAAGGTCGCAAATTTCAATCTTTTGCGATAATAATGCAAACGCAAATAACGTCACAAATGTAAATACGTTCAAAACTTCATAAAAATTCAACGATAACATGAAGCACAGAGTCGGAAAGTGCTTTTTTATCGCACCAATTATGTAAAACTCATTTCGACTCAAAGAATAGTGACATGAAGGCATTATCGCAAGAAAAGCGGGTCAGGTCGCTGGGCCGTCTGGATTATTAATTATTATCGTTCAAACATTATCTTTGAGCGGTTTTTGAACCAACATTGCGTTGAAACTCCTTGARATAGAGCAATTAAAAAAWATATAAAGAATCGAAAATCAATCTTGTGTGCCCTCTGAATCAAAACACTTACAAATGATAGTAAAGCTATAAATTCACTCAATCAAAATGCGGTGTGTGGGATCAAGGATTTTGCAAATATTTTATAGCGTATAAAATTCAAAAGTGTCCATCTCTTGAGTGGTGATAAAGGACATCCAAATGAGTTACAAAYTAATTCTTGAACCTTTTTTCACRAGATATAGCTCTTCAAAAATTAGATTTTAGGTGAAGTTTTTGACCGTTCAGATCATACAGGGTGTCCCAGAGAGTTGAAAAGGTGGACCTTTAAATTATAAAATTAAAAAAAAAAATGTATAGGTAATAATAATTTAATGCATCACCTAAAAGTATTTACAACCATACAACATGTCTCAAAAATAAGTTAGGATACAAATTTGTGTTTTTTTAAATGAAACACCGTATGTTTCTTTGCATTTTTGGCTGTAGCCTTTTGAAACAATGTTTTTACGCTAAACTTTTATTAGTCGATTTYGCTTAGTTTTAGAAATAAGACGTTTTTTTGACGAAAACATGCACTTTTTAAAAATTTATTACACAAAAATTAAGGCAGCTAGAACAAATTTTTTCTCACTTCTGCTAAGAAGAAACTACAAAATTTAAAACTTTAGCAATTTTTTAGTGATTTGCATTTGTAAAGATTAATATTTTGAGAAGTTTGTTAAAAGTTAAATGACTTAAAAAATTTAAATGAAACACCCTATTTTTTATTTTTGCATCTRATAGATTGATAAATTGATCTAAAAAAATAATGTCTAGAATTGATAAATGAAAAGATATTTAACATATTAATATTAATTGTAGCAACAATGCCTATCGATATCTGACCATACTATGGCAACCATAGTAATCACTTATCTGTTGATTTATTGAGAGGTTGTAAAAGTCGTTATAAATACTGAAATTCGAATTATTTTATTGTAAAAATAAAGAACACAAATGTGATTATTAAGTGATATTTCTTCCATCTTTTGTGAAATTGTGCACTTTTTGGCTACTGAAACAAAGCAATTATTTTTTTTATGTCTAACGTTAAATATCTTTTTAGTTATTGATTATAAATAGCTAAAAGTAAATAATTTTAAAAAGATAATTTAATAATCTTCTAAATGCAAAAACAATAAATAGGTTTTAAATTTTTTAAGTTATCAACAAACGCCTTCATTTTTTTTTTCTTTGCAAACACACTAAAAAAATGTTATTACTTGTACCTTCTTCTTTGCAGTAGTAAAAAAAATATTTCTATATATCTTAGTTTTTGTGTGATAAATTTTGTGTCATAAAAATCTACATCCCAAAATGCTAAGAAGCATATGGTGTTTCATTTAAAAAAAAAACACAAGTTTGTGATGTATTGTATTTTTGAGACATGCTGTATAGTTAAAAATAATTTTAGATTAGGTTAGTACCTATCTATCAATGTTCTATATAATGTTTTTTTAATTTTACAAATTAAAAGTAACTAATGGACTTTACCAACTCGCTTGGACACCCTGTATGTTTTTGAAATTAGTTAATGGAAACAACAGATTTTGCAATACCGGTTGATAAAACAAACTAGCAAATTCAACAATATATTAAATCTGACAACATCGGAAACAAAAGAGCTAAGATAATATGGAAATTGGTAGTTCTGTTTTTTCTCAAAAAAGGCTTAAAAAACCTTAATTAATTTGTATGTTAGCGAAGAGTTTTCAATCATCACTCGAGAGTTGGCCCCACACTTTTGAATTACCCTGTATAACCGGATTCTGTTTATCTTTGCACAATATCACATTAAAATACTCTTAATTTCTTGGAAATAATACATAAATAATAAAGTGGCGCAGAAGTAATCCATTGAAGCACAACAAGCGACTGCTTGAATGGGCTTCGCTAACGAGCTTTTTATAACATTTTTTTAATTTGATTTGAGCATTTTTGAAAAAAAGCTATATTGCTATATACWGCTTTTTTATTTTGAGTTGTTTATGCAGTTTTTTTTAAGAAAAACAAAATTTTGCCTAAGTTCTGACACTTAGCATCAGAGTTGAGGAACAAACAATTGCTTGAATGATCTTCTGCAACGGGTCTTTAATACTATTTTTTCTATTATAAGCTTTTTATGTTGTTTTTAGAGAGAGAAAAGGAAATTTTCCATAATTTTRAGACACGTAACAGTGATATTKATGAAGRTATTTAGAATTAAATCCTCAAGATTATTTCATGTATCTATSCCACCGGAAATTTGTSAAATTAGTAAGAATAAGAATATTGAAGATTTCAACGGCACTCTCACCAACATTAAAAACRTAAAATACACTGAGAAGCTGTTAACGCTCCCGAACGAGTTCGTTAATAGTTAAATTAGGAAAAAACTYCATAAAATCCCCTTTTGAAATGATTAAAATTGTATAATTCATTTTGAATTTTGAATAAATCAAGCATTGTTTTATTAAATTTAATTCTGGTTCTTAACCCCGTGTAGAATTCAATGCCGCGACATAACAAAGCATTATTTCCAAATGAAAAATTAATTAAGCTAAGTAGGTACAGTAACGGCAGAAATTAATGAAACTTTTTGGATAAGTGTAAACAATACCTTGAGTTATCTCATCCACTGCCCACTGAAACTCAAATTCCAATTCGATACAATTCAAAATTAAGTAGAGTGAACTCTGCGAAAACAATGAAATTACAATTAAAGGTTTAATTAACTGCAGTATTCCATTCTAGTGTCTCATTTGCATTTCGTCTGCATTCTCCATAAATTAGGAACATTACKCAGATATGTGGTTGAAATGAACATTTAAAAATACAAAAAAAGATTCATTTCTAAAAAAACTCCTGTCAACAACATTCATTTTCTGCATCCTTCTAAAGCAAAACGACGTGAATTAAATAAAAGGTCTTTCCCCAAGAGTCTCACAAATTGATTAAAATTGGAAACGTGCGGCCAGGAATGTAATAAAATTTGTAATGAAACGTGAGAAAAAGTCGTTTCAAGTTTAATCAAATAAACGAATTTGGTTTCGAAATACTGACGTATTTAATTTTTATTTTCAACAATTTTTATAACAGCCTAAAAATATATTGCTGAAGAGCGGCAAACGTAAGCAAAAATCATAATTTTTATACAGGGTAATTCATATAAAACCACAAGTCTCACAAACTTGAATTGACCAGACAGTTTTATATTAATCACCCTGTAGAAAAAATGTACATATTCCGGTTTTTCCAATTTTAAAATTTACCGTATACTTATCTAATTTTAAAAAACCTGAATACCTAAACTTAACTGAATACCATGTAAATGAGTTAGTCAACATTTTACATTTTTATAATTCAAATTGTTTACAATTGTAAAAAACGTAATTTTGCCAAATCAACGTATTATAATAATGCAGCGTCGGACAAAATGATAATTAAACGAACTGTTAACATTCTACTTAGTTKACAGACCAATAAATAAATGCATTTTTTTAACGCCATAATAGTATTTCTTATATTTTATTTGCGTCACACATATACAGGCTGACACAAAATTTGTGCTTATTAGATTTGTCAATTGTCACTATAACAACGCTGTTTCCATAGCAACGTTGTGACAACTACCGCCACCTGTTGAATCTCGATCTACGATAAATTATAGATTTCTTTATCGTTTCATCAGCAATCAGCCTACTAGATAAGTGGCAAATACTTAAAAATAAATAAACAAACGACTATAGATTAGCTGTCAATGTTGTTAATATACAAACAAAAAACTTTCAACACGTGTTACAAACAGTACTTGACCTCTGATAACACGCAGGTGTGAGTCAAGAGCCTTAAAATATTTTTTTCTATGACTTACCTTCCGAAATCAGCCTTTGTACAACATTGACCATATCCTTAGCCTCTCTCTTGTAGAATTCATTCTCAACTTCGGGTTTAATTTGTAAATCTGTTAGAGTTAAGGAAAAAGTCGATAAAACACCTGTGGACTCACCTGGTTTGTAGGTTAACTGTAAGTATTTGCAAAACTGAAACGTTCTAGCGATTACGAACTGTACTTTACTCTTATCGGTGCTAAAACGCGTTTTTTCTTATCGCTTATAATATTTAAAAATCGTGAAATATTACACAAACGGCGGCCAACTCGACCAGTGGCGTGCGTCTCTAACCGTTCCAGCAATTTTTTTTTCAAATTTGAATGAAACACGTCGTATAGTGGAATTTAATCTGTTGTAAAATGTGTCTAAAGCGCTCGACGTGTGTGAAAGATGTAGACTTTGAATAATAAATAGGTTTTTATTGCTTTGGCGTAAGAGACACGTCTATGGTCTGATGATTTAGAGGTTTTGAATTTCATTCTGAGCGGTCACAGTGGCTGTGCTACGTCCGCGTGCTGACATCTGCCCTCCGTTCGTGTAAACTCGCGAAGATTTCTTGTTGGCCGGTAATTACAACACGGTTTTGAGATGGCGACTGCGATAAAGAGGAATATTTCATTCCAGCACCTGTTGGTCAAGTTGGCGAACGTTCAACTTTTTCATGTCGGACATGCAGATAAAATAATTAAGGACAAATTTAATCAACTTTCACTTCCACGAGCTATTTAGAAATTATCATTATCTCGCAGGAAAAAAAATATTGCGAATTGTGTGACCACAAAAATGTATTCTTTTGCAACGTATAGCGAATCGAGGCGAAATTAAAATTTGTTCTTAAAGTGGTAATGACTTTAAAATCGAAAAGTTGTTAAATTTTATTTGCAATCAAAAGTGCATAAACCACATTCCTCCTGATTATTTGCATACAAATTGGCGGCCATTTTGACAAGTTTCCTCTCGCAATTATGACAGTAGTGTGTTTTTGTTTCGTGTTTAATGGCGCTCTCCTGCTGTCACTTGAGACTTCCTTTGTTTTTTTCTACGCTTGCTACATGGTGTGACACCTTCCGGGTGTCAACGCAGTTCAAATGGCATAATAGCGATGATTTTTACAAGAAACAAGAATATTGCAGTTATAATAAATTGATTAAAGCATAAAAAACGATTGTAACAATAATTATAAATGACGAGTCGCGTTTCGTAAAGATGATAATTATTGTTATTTGCTGGAAAGGATGTCTTCAACATATAAGTATACTACTTGATGTAGTAAACTTGCTACAAGTGAAGRGCAAATGTCAAATAGCATTAAGGTTCTTATAAAAAAGAATTATGTTTAAATTGTAATAAATTTTAAAAAAATAGCAAAAACCAAGTTGAAATATGTTTCACACATTCAATTAAAYTCTGATCAAAGTGGCCTATGAATTTGAAATTACGTTGGCCACAGTGGAAAATATCTGAATATGTAGCTTGATAATTTTATAATTTTTGACTGTTGTGTGTTTTGCAATGTCGCCAACTTAATTTTTAAGTCGCAAGACGCAAGCCACTTTGATCAAAAATTCAGTTAAACGCATAGCCTCATTATTTCTATAAGAAAGTAAGTTCTGGATTAATTTTGATTTTAATTAATTAATATCTAAAATAAATGGAAACCTAGATAGAGTGAATTTTTTATAAGAATTATTGAGACTCGGGATTTTTTATAAACTAATTTGGTTACAATTTTTTTTTCTCAATAATTAATTAATTTATTTCATTTTTTTCCAATATTGCAGGATGTAGTTTTTTTAATATTTATTTTTGAATTATTAAACAAAGCCAAGAAAAAAAAGGAAAGTTTTATGTCTCATAATCGACAACAAAATTTATGCCAAAAATTTTTGGTGAAAAATGTTATGTAAATAAGCATAATAGACTCATATCTAGACAATAATTGTCAAGGTTTGCACACAGATAAGTATTTAATTACGTTTAAATAATTTAATTATGTAACAGGTTACACTTTTATTTGGAACAAAAAAAATATCACTTTGTACTACTCGTAATATACAGTTATCGAGTGAAAATTAAATAAATTCGAAAAAATGAATATTTATGTTCAAAAATAAACTACTTTAAGATAAATAAAAGAGATAAGGACAAGTTTATAAAAGTCCTCATAAAAATCGAGTCATTTCTTTTGGAAAACTGAGTGATGGCCCTTTTTTGTTCATAATTTTTTTAAAATCTTATTTTGAAATTTGACAGTTTACAACTAGGTAAGTACTCTAGTAGAATCTTCAAACTTTCGGTTATCAAATGCAATAAAATTTAAAAAAATATTTACTTAACGCAGAGGGTTTCACAGCTGTGATTTTTGAAAACAAAAATTTTGACAAAAATTAACATACTATGTCAATAACTATGACAGATAAGTACCAACAACTTGGACATGTTTTACTCAGTTTGGAAWGACKAATTCAAAAATGTTATAAAAATGGGTGATTACCATTTAAAATTTCAAAGTTGGCGCCAATTTCTAGTAGTTTCGGAAGTTCAGCCATTTTGAAAATAATTTGGTTAAATCAAAAATGATCGATTTTGGTCGCGTACAAAATTTCAAAGCCGTAGCTTTATTGGAGGTTCAAAAGTTTTTCATGTAAATCCTACACGAATCACCCGGTATGCCTACGCATTTTGATAAAATGAACAAAAAAGTATAATTGAAAACTAAAGCATCAAAATCAAAATTTTATAGGGGAAATTTTATTGTTATCAAAAAACAAAATATATTATTTTTAAATTTGAATTTTGACTAATCTCCAAATTTTACATTTTATACACAAAAATACTGAAAAGTGATAAAGCAAGAAAATAATTTTAAGTAAAATCTGTCAAAAGTAGACACTTTTAATTAGTTCCAAAAAGTTGTCTGTCTTGTTTTTAACAATTATGCTAAATATCAGTAACGAAAGAAATTGCATATTTATAGATTCAGAGCAATAAACCAGTAATTTCCAGTTAATAACAGTACCTAATCTTTATGCACTAACACGGAGATAATATACAGGGTGTGCCAAGTTTTAAATTTTTCTCAAAAATCACCAAAGTGACTTAGACTAAAACTTTTCATTTAACATATCATCTGTATGTTTTTCAGTGTTKCYAAATTATTTTGCAACAATTAATTTTTGTAATCCGATCATGGCGGAAGCCTACTGAAAAACAGTAACCACAACACGCTAGATTCTACCATTCCCAAAAGAAATCCAGAAGAACGAAACTCGTTTAAACTAGATCTATAAAATGATACGAATCCCACGAGATTATAAAACCGAAATGATTGCTTCATTTCTCAAAAATAAACCCACAATGCATACCCACGGTTGTTAAAACCAGCACTGTTCCAAAACAAGTATTTTAAAAAACGGAAGTCGCGTCTTGTGTGCACTTAATTTTTTTCCCGTGAACATGTGATTTGACAAAAGGATACATTCTAACATATCGGCGACACTTTGGGGTATTTCTTCCGTCTTTCTCGTAAACCTGGCAACTTCTTTCCTGAGGTCATGGAACGTGCTATAATAACGCGGCAGATCGATTTCCTTCCTACATGCTTCCGGATACAGACATTGCCTTAACGGTAATTGGCCGTCTGTTAAAAGCCTGAAGCCGGCACTGTGCGGGTCTATGTGTAAACTACTGCAGTACGCATCGAATTCGTTGAGGGCGTCCTCCAATTGCCTTCCAGATGATTTTATGAGTTCGTCGGTCAAAACCGATTCAGATGTGAGCTGTTCGGATAGGATATTTTCGTTGATGTCGGCGGTTTGCGGCCTGATTGGGTACTGCTGCACGCCCACAATCTGRAACAACCAAGAAATGTGCAATGTTAGCTCAAATGGCTGACTTATGGCGACTTGACACTGTTTTAACACCATTTTTTCGATTACTTCCAAAAATACAGGGTGCGCCAGAACTCGCACCTCAAAGAAAAATGCCATATAAGGTAAGATACCAGGAACTTGGAAAAAAAGTTTTAAAATTTTATATATAAAAATTTCAAAGTTAGGAGAGTTTGAATTTTGCACCTTGACTCTATTTATTTCTGTTGGAAAAATAATTTTCCAAGTTTTTTGCTACTACCCATTAGAAGAGGAAACAAGAAAGCTGCATCCTAAATTGTAACTCTGTTCAATGTTATTTGTGGCTTTTATTGGCAAACTTTGTTGTACCTTTACTAAATAATTGTAAAAAAACATAACAGGGTATGTCACGAGTGATAATGAGCCTGACCACATTTGAACTGCAGCCAGCAATACATTTGCATAGGCTTCATGGATTTGGATTATGAATTTTAAAATTAATAAAACATAGTTATCGCGTGACTGACACAAAGAAATTGACAAGACAGGAAACACAATTTTTAAGGTTATTGTCTATCTACTATTGGAAAACACTTTCAAGCCTTTTTGGAGCTTTTCTATACAGGAAACATTGTCTTTACAAAAGAAGCATTTTTCCCAAATTCGCCATAAATGAGAATTAGATCTGTTTTCTCATCGTTCGAATGCATTTTGAAATTTTGCTAATGTCAGTTGTGACATGGTTGTGACAAATAAAATTATCGAAGCAAAGCTATCGTGGATTCATAATTCGGTTTTTCAAACAATGCGATATCTAAAACATCCACGTTAACTTTGCAAATGTATTTTGTATTTTCAATTCCGTCAGGCTCATTATCACTCCTGAAATACCCTGTATACAAGATCATCAGTATCATTAAATAGACATAAAAAATGTCAAATGTCAAAAAATTAATGTCAAAATGTTTTGACAGATAGAATTTTTTAAACATTTTTTCCATGTTCCTGGTATCTTATCTTACTTGAAATTTTTCTCTGGGGCGCGAGTTCTAGCGCACCCTGTATAAACACCAATTTTAAACTACGGGGTGTTTCACACAACTTTACGAGGCTTGCGCCTAATGTACGCACTCAAATATACAAAAGTCACAAAACAATTTTTGGAAACTCATGACAGTAGTTGTCAAACTAATCACTGTAAACTGCAGTTTTTCAGAAACCATAATCATTTGTTTTATCAAGAGATGRCATGAATATGATTCTAGTTTATCTATCTTAATCACTRACTAACAAAAAACATTATAATTTTTTAAAGGATAAACAAACCACAGAAGATTATCCAATTTTTTCAAAATTCGTAATCGAGTTGTAATCGGAATATGTATTATTGATTGCATCTTACAGATGCAGGCCTMGTAAAATTATGTGAAACACCCTATATTAGGGCCCATTGTGGCTCTTTTTTCTCCAAAACTTGCAAATATCAAAATGAAAACGAAAACGATTTTGTTTCGCATTTTAGCACTTTATTTTTTGCAACCAATTCTTGTACTTAGGGCCTCATATTTGTTTGATTAAGCTAAAACCCATTTTTTGGGGTTATTTCGAAAACTGTAGGGCATGCCTTTTGATCATTATTTGCTAAAAATCATGCTAGCCTTGAAATTAGATTGAGACGTGTTCAAAAATACCATTATTATAAAGGGGGCGAATTTTTTTCACGAATTTTTTTTCACAAATTTTTTATTTTTTTTATTTTGAAAATTACGACTAGACTATATCTAAAATGATTGCCTAATGTTTTAAGTCAATTAGCGTCGAGAAAACTACAAAATTCGCAATAGATTCGAAGTTATGGGTAACCATTTCGACTTTATGAGCAATTTGAGTTTTTCAGCAATAACTATTTATCGTAGGGCAATGATATTTTTTTTATAAGATAGATTATTAAATGTGCTTTTTAACGCTACCAAATATAAGAGGCTAGTGTCAATAATTCYGGAGTTATTGGCAATATACCGCTCCGGGTACAGAAAATTTGTCAAAAATCTCAAAATTGAAAACTTTAAAATTGATTAAAATGCACTTCAAGAGGGTCTAAAAGAGTATAAAACGTCGTAAAAATACAAAATAAAAAAAAATTATATGAATATATTGGACTAGAACAGAAATACATGCCAGGAGCTTGGTGGCGTAGTGGTCACTACTTCCGGCAGGTAGTTCAAACTCTGCAAAAGTCGGCAATTTTTCTCTAATTCTAATCCAAATATTTAACATCAAGTAAAATTTTGTTTTAATCTTATTAGGAGCCTCTAAGCGTTACAAAGTTTTGAAATTTAAGATCCAAAAACGGTTCCATTTTTTATTTTTGTAAAACAAACGTGGTGAAGCGGTTCCACTAATGGATGCATTTAATTTGGATTGGAAATCGAAGGTAGTAATAGAGGTAGGTAATAGCAGGTCAGTAATCAGTCACTTTTCAACCTCCGTCAAGGTTAGAAAAGTCAATTAAAAAGTTCTCGATTAGTAAAGTAAAAAATGTGATAAAAACATGACTATTGTTCATTTACTAATTTTTTATTTAAAAAAATAAATAAAATTTGCTTTAAGAACTTACATTGAAGAAAGACGAAGCGCTTTTTTATCTTTTTCACAAAATTAGTGAGAAGTTTMCAACAAATGTAAAATGTACAAATGTTTTCATTATTTAATAACTCAGTGTTGCCAAYTGATTTTTTTGTCACAATTATTTGTAGTTAGTAAATCAACGGTTCAAATAAAAAAATATTAAAATGAGTAAAAAATACTGAAACCGAAAAATTGAAAATGATTAATCATAAAATAAAAAAACAAATATCCTTTTTATTAAATTTAAATGTTTTAATAATAAATATTATCAAATTTAGACGTTTTATGTAATTATTTATCAAATCGTCGTGGAAAATGARTTAAATGAATGTTTTTCAGTTTTAAAGTGGTCATTTTTTCGACTGAAAAATTTCCACACTGAAACTACAGACTTACTTATACAAATTTTGTTAGAGCAGAACGTCACGTTTGAGATAGGCTTTAACTAGGTTAAAGATAAAGTCAATACTAATCTAAACATTTTTTTATAAATAACTGTCTCCTGAGTCTGTTAATTTTTTGAGAATTTTTTTTTCATATAATTCAGTATTTTGTTGTGTAGACAAACTATCACTAGCAAAAATTAGATAATTTAATTGCATCAACAAACAAACGGTAGTAGATAAGAGATAACACATAGTGCGTGAACTATGGAACYAGTGATGAGATTTTGAGACAATCACATGAATTATTTACAAAAACGTGTCTTTTTTTCTAATTTTTTTCAGAAGTTAAACTATTGCTAATACTAGTACTAGTTGTTTTTTTAAAAAAGAAAGGGTTTGAATAATTTTCTTCATGTTTCTGCTTTTCTGCCGTTTTTTTAAAATCGAGAAAGTCATAATACGTTTATTTTTACAGTTTGTTGCTTGAAAAGCCACAAAAATACACCGGTACTTGTGACCCCTGACCGAATTTCCATATTTTTGACATCAAAGGAATTGTTTCACAATATTTACGTGACTTGGTAGATTATAGACGTTAAACAATGACAAGCATATTGCAGTGAAAACAATGTTTACGTATCGTTCGTTTTTTCAAAAACTGTGCGTTCTCAGTAAAATATCATCAAGGATTATTAGTAAATATTAATTTTAGTCATACTTTAACACACATGAAATATTGCAGGTCAAAGATCCCCCATGTGTCATCAATTTAATAGTAAAATTATGATAATAATTAATGAGCAATCGCCGACCTTCTTACGCAAATCGATTTTTTACACGTTTCGCTTATTCCCGTCATTCTTTTACTAAAAATAGGTTTTGCACACGATGAATTCCGATTCTAAAAATTCAAATTGTTTTYATCGTTCGTGTTTTTAACCAGACCGATGATTTCCTTTCAGTTCATTAATGACACAAAAAGAGACACAAAGCGGATATCCTTTACTTTTTAATTAACTCCATCGATTGCAACAACACGTACCCAATCGTCTGAAATTTGAACTCTAATAATATTTATTATGGTTTTTGCGTAAAAATCGACCAGTCATGCCTGAATTAAATGCAAAAGCTTTATTCTCACGAGTTTTCAGGGTATTTTTGTCGCAGTTTGCATGACAAAACGGACGTCTTATTGTCTTGATAAACACACAGTGAGGACGTCCTTGACTCTTCAAATTACTGTATTTTCAATATTACATAATTTGTTTGTTTTCGTTAAGTTAACTCCGTTTGTTAAATACAGTGTAGCTGGGGAAAAATTGTCGTTAATCACACGTGTGACGTCGATTTCAACGATGGGTCACAGCGCGAGCTTCCAATCGAGCTTTATATTATTTTGCAATTAACGCTRTTTTTGTCTAATGCAGTTTAATTGTTTCTGATAGCGTAATTGGTSTGATAACAATTAATGTATTTACAGGCAATTTATCACAGAAACYCGTTTTACTTGTGCCGTTTTTCTAGGGTCCAAGGATTTCCTATAAATGACGCCAACAATTAGCATTTTTTCGATTATCGATGGACAAAGTCTGCTATTATTTCGTATGCAGTCTTAATAAAGTGGTAATTGACTTGCCAAAAAAGTGCTTAATTCACTTATTTGTTCAATTAAAAGTCAAGGATGAATTTAATTCACTGAAAAAAAATTACAACTGATTAATTACTAACACTTTGAATTTAGAGGTAGTTTCGGTCTGCTTCACAAATTCTCTTGAATTGACTGTTTTCAGCAACATTAATTGATTTAATAACTTTGACTTTTGCTTTAAAACAGTCGTAATAGTTTTTGTGTGAAAATTTCTTATTAAGATAAATCAAGTCTACTCAATTGATTCTCATCGGAATTACGCAAATTAGCATTTTACGAGCGTGCCCTAGACTAGTTCTTCTGACCTTTAAAGGAATGTGGAGTCTATTGAGTTGTTT